TACTTGGGGGCAGGGCAATTTTTCAAGATCAATGTAGCAGTTCTGGAAACTGTTTCTCATAATTATATAAGATGACAACTAATAGTTGTGGTTAGTTAGTACAATGAAACACACTGTATGTGCCTCTTAAGATGAAACCAATTAAGAAAATATTTTTAAATATACACATTTCAAAATTGCCCTTTAAAATAATATACATCCTATTTTGGCCAGGAGTCCCTGGCTGGAGCAAACAGTTAAGTGCTCAATTACTAGCCGAAAGGTTGGCAGTACAAACCCACCCAGAGATGCTTCAGGGAACAACCTTGAAACCCTATGAGTCAATTCTACTCTGCACACATGGGGTTGCCATGAGTCAGAATCAACTCAACAGCAGCTAACAACAACAACGTCTTGTCAGGTGCTTTTCCTAAGTCATGCATAGTTCTTTCTCAAGTCTCTTGTCCCTGTGTGTGTACAGTCATACTAGTGGAAAAAAGGAAAGAGAAGGGGAAATTGGGAAATGTAGATAAAAGGTAACTCTTCCCTCAAATGTCTTAAATGTCTCATTCAACAAATGTTTATAAAGCACCTGCTATGTGCCAGGCTCTAAGTATTAGGGGTACTTCAGGGAGCAAATCAGAACCCCTATCTTCCCAGAGCTTACATTCTATCGAGGGAAGACAAACAGTGCTTGCTGAGACATACTGGAGCCTGGGGCAAAAAAGGGAATTCAGTAACATAGATCCAGTCTTAATTTAAAATTTTGATACTTTGCTCATCATGGATTTTTTTTTGCATTTTGATTTTTAAAAATATTGCACCAAACTATTTATCTTGACTACTAAATGTTTTAGTGTCCCCTTAAATTTTACACCCTAGACAAGTGTTTCCCTCACCTCATCCTAGTCCCAGTCCTGAGACAAATACTGGTAGATACACGGTAGGTGCTGAGATGCCACACCCACATTTCCCCTTCAAGAATGATGTACTTATTTCCCCAGCTGCTGAGAGTGTTAGCAGTTGACAGCTCATGGCTGAATCTCCCTCCAGAGATTGCCCTCAGCTGCAGACAGCTGCCTAGCCCAGCCAAGGTCATACCCCTTCCCTTGGGCAGCCCATATTCAGTGACTGATCAAGATGAAGAGGTACTATCCCAGAATAATACAGGCTAGTTGATAACGCTTATATGAGTTTCCTAGGGCTGCCGTAACAAATTGAGTGGCTTAAAACAAAAATTGATTCTCTCACAGTTCTGGAGGCTAGAAGTCTAAAATCAGGGTGTCAGCAGTTTTGATTCCTTCTGAGGGCTCTGAGAATTTGTGCCATGCCTCTCTCCCAGCTCCTCAGGATGACTGGCAATCCCTGGCGCTCCCTGGCTTGTAGATGCACCACTCCAATCTCTGCTTCCGTCTTCATATGACCTTCTCCCCATGTGGCTCTTCTCCTCTTATAAGGATAGCAGTCATACTGGATTAGAGCCCAACCTATTCCAGTACAACCTCATGTTAGCTAATTACATCTTCAAAGAGCCTACTTCCAAATAAGGTCACGTTCGCATGTACTGGGAGTTAGGACTTCAACATATCTTTCTGGGGGGACATAAATTAGCCCATAGTAATGCTTAATGGTCAGAAGCAAGGTGGTAGTAAATATCTTAATGAGCGGGGAGGTTACGGTGGCAGGCAGTGAAGACTTAACTCACAAAGAGGTAGGGAGATGGCTAGAGTCCCTAGAGGGAAGCTATATGGGCAGCCAACAAGGGTGTTGTTCAGTATGTATCAGTGGTTCTCAAAGTGTGGTTAGAAATGCCAATTCACAGGCCCTAGCTCAGACCTACTGAATTTGAAACTCTTGGGGAGGGGCCCAGCAATCTGTATCTTAACAAGGCTTTCAGGTGATTCTGGTGTATGCTGAAGTTTGAAAAACACTGGTCTATTCAGTCAAAAGAAATCAAGAAACAATGAGGAGGTTAAAGGCAGCTTCACCAATAAAGTCACAATTCTTTAACCAGTTTTTAGACTCAGCACTCAATGACCAAAGGAAAGGCCAGGTCCTCAGGAGAAAGTACTCTGCAACCAAGGCTTTGAGCCAGTTTGTTCTGATTCGACCCCCTGCTGAGAATTTACATTTCCACCCCAGATATAACTGAATCAAACTCTACATTTTAATAAGATCCCCAGATAATTCTTAACACTTGGGGATCTTGTTAAAATGTAGATTTTAATTCAGTATATCTGGGGTGGAAATGCAAATTTCTGTCAGCAGGGGGTTGAACTGGCCAGGCAGAACCAGTTCAAAGCCCTGCCTGCAACACCTTGGACAGTCTACATGATAATGATTACCTGTCTTCCCCAAAGGGACTGACAAATATTTACTTCAGTAAATACCCCAGGGAAAGGAAAATACCTCAACATTTTGAGAACTATTAGACATAGCTGACAGTGATACCCAGCATAATATGAAGCATGATCATGTTAGCCCACTCGTTAGAATGGACACTGTATGGGGGCCAGGTAATAAATGGACAACAGGCCCAGTCCAGCTCACAGTGGGTCTAGTTGGTTCAGGAACTCACTCAGTGGTTATGTCCTGGGCCCCTGACTGTATAATTGAAATGGACAATACTTAGAAGTTAGGAGAACATCCACATGTCCACATTAGTTCCTTGGCCTGTGGGTAAAATTTATCATAGTGGGGAAGAACAAGTGGAAGCCTCTGAAGCTACTTCCCCACGCCCCTCCTGGCAAGACTGCAAATTAAAAACATCCCAGGGCAAATGCAGACATTAGTGTCACCCTTAGAGACCTAAAGGAAGCAGGAGTGATGATTCCTACCAAATCTCCATCTACCAAATCACCAGTCTTACCCCTACAAAAATCAGATCGATTCTGGAAAATGTCAGTAGATTACTCCGAACTCCATCAACTAGCAGCCCCAATTGCAGCTGCTGCGCCTGATGTGGTATAAGCCACAGCCTCCACCACAACAGTTGGTATGGAAGCAGCAACTGACACTCATCGTCTCCCTCCTTTACTATCCATTCTAGATTTCCCTCATCCTTGGTTAGCACCTGTGACACAGACAATAAAATACATGACCAAATTTTATAGTGTTAAGATGGTAAAAATGTTATAAAAAATTGAATAAGGGAAGAATGCTTTGTAAATTGAATAAATTAGGGTAATTTTGAGAGGTTACATTTGGGCAATCTTGAAGGTGAGGGAGTGATCATGGGTATATTCAAGGGAACAGTATGCCACATAGATGGAATAGCAAGTGAAAAGGCCCCAAGGCTGGATCGTGTCTGAGGCATTATAGGAACAGCAAGGAGGCTAGTGTGTGATAAGGTAAAAGAGGTGATGGCCAGAAGTGTAGGGTTTTATAATCATTATAAGGGCTTTTAACTTTTACCCTGAGTGAGATGGAGAGGTGCTGGAGGATTTGAGGTAAAAAGTAACACAATCTGATTTTACATATTAACAGGGTCACTCTGATTGCTATGTTAAGAGTAGCTTGTAGGGAGGCAAAGGGGGTGGTAACACAAGAGAACAGTGGCTTGGACCAGTGTGATAACAGCAAATATGGTGAGACATGATCAGTTTCTGGACATATTTTTGAGAGAGATTCCATAGGATTTGCGAATAGATGTGAGGTACAAGAGAAAGTAAATTGTCAAGGATGACTCTGAGATTCTTGGCTTAAGCAACTGGAAAGATGGAGTGGCCATTTACTGAGATGGATAAACATGGGAAAGGAGCAAGTTTAGGAACAGGATCAATAATACAGTTTTGAATATGTTGAGGTTGAGATGACCTTTAGACACCCCAGCAGAGATATTGAATAGGAGTTGGATATAGGCTTCTGGAGTTCAGGAAAGGAGTCGTCAGTGAATAGATGGGAAGTTAGAGCCATAAGATTCAAAGAGAGTGCTAAGGGAGGGGTGTGGATAGAAAAGAGCTCTGGGGCACTTGAACATCAAAGGTGTGGCAGGGAGGCAGGAAAACCAGAGGCATATGATGAGTTGCAATTGACTAGACGGTAAGGGGATCTTGCCCTGAAAGCCAAGTGACAAAGAGTTTAAAGGACAGGAGAGTAATTAACTGTCAAATTAAGTAAGTTAAGGACTGAGAATCAACCATTAAAAATGATTGTTGATCTTGATACTAACAGTTTAGACACAGTGATGAGGGCAAAAACTTCACTGGAGTGCATTCAGGAGAGAAGAAGGGGATAAGAATTGGAGACAGGTAGAATGGACAATTCTTTTCAAGTTTTACTAAGAGGGACAATAGAGAAATAGAGGGAAAGTGGGGTGAAGAGAGGTGTCTGTTTTTTTTGAGTGAGAGAAATACCAGAATGTTTGTATGCTAGTCGGAAAAATAGAGGTAAGCTGATCAAGCAGGAGTGAGCAGAGAATTGGAGCTATATTCTAGAGCAGACAAGACGGAGGTGAGATCTAGTACACAGGTGGACAGATTTCTTCGGATAGGAGGATGGACAGTACGTTTGTTGTAATGGAGGGAAGGCAGGCCATGTGGGGCAGATCCTGGCAGAGGTGTACGTATGGTGGTGGGAAGTAGACCAAGACCATGGCAAAGAGAGGAATTTCTTGTAAGTAATATTTTTCTGTTCACTTTATAAGTATTATGTCACTAGTAGCAATGTAAATTTAGTCAAGTTATTTAATACCTAACCTGCAGTTACCTCATCTATTTAAAATGAGGGTAATAATATTAACTGTATTATAGGTAGTGTGAAGATTAAATGAGTTACTACTTGGAACATGGTTAGAAGAATAACTAGCACAAGTAAGCAATCTAAATAGGCAACTTTTAACCTTTATCAATAGATACTATTTTTAATGGAACAATCAAAAATGAGGGAAGGAGTCGGAAAATTTATGTTCCAGAACCTAATCCTTAAAAATAGGTATTGTTAAAGGCATTAAAAAAAATCATAAATCACTTCAATGTTTGAGCTTCTTCAATGTTAATTATTACCTGAATATAACTGGCTGTTGTGATGATCAAATGTCATGTATTAAATACCTTTTGAAATCCTTAAGTACTAATACTATGTTGTAATTGTAATTAAAATTTCATCAGGGTAAATAAGTACTTAAAATCAATTTAGAAAAATTTCACATTTGCTATGAATTAAAGTTTTGTTCAAAGTGTCTTGAAGCTCAGTTTATTTTAACATTTTTAGAGAAAACTATGTTCTTATCATATCCACACATCAGATTATAGTGAAATTAAAATGTCATTTTTTCTGTAATCTTCACAAACAAGTAATGATATTGAGGAGAAAAAAAAAGTTGGACAAGTCTAGCAGGTACCTTCTCTTCAGGGAAGGATTATGCTGTACAGATACTTCATTTTTTCTGCCTTTACTAGTTCTTAGGGGCAAGGTCTACACACAACAGGTCTCCTCAGGGATGTACTGTGCCCCAGGCAACAGCACCATTCCACATTCACTTTGAGTTCCTTCAAAGGCAGCAACTCAAAGGTGTTAGACATTAGCTCCCCCAAGGCAGTCTTAGTCCCTCTTCTTAAAAAAATTCATTAGCAGTTTAACTTCCCAACAATGATAAAATACAATCAATCATTGAAGAGCAATATGCCATTAAAATGATTCTGGGCTATCATTTCTTTTTAATTCTAAAAACGATTAAAGTTGGCCGAAAACACTGAAGTCTTTCCCTCTCCTCATAGAGGATTGCCCTGCTTTGTTGGCAATTGTAAAGTTGAAAATCTGGAAAATGATGTAATACATCTGCAGAGATTATTCCTAATGTATATTTCAGTGCAATACCCTCCACATACTCCCATCTACTTTGGCTTTCCTCTGAGTATTTAAGAGCTATGATGTACTCGTGATGAGCAACTTATGCCCAGGAAAAAGGAAGCTTGATAACCAAATTCACACAATAAACAGCTCGCCTGGTAGCTTGTAGCATAGGCTGCACTTATAACACTGCCAAATCCCTGAAAAACACCTAGTTGCTGTCGGGTTAAAAATTTACAGGCTCCCTTGGGAACAATGATCCAAGTTCATAAGACATGCTCTCTCAACTCAGTAAATGTAATAAAAACAACAGAGGTTGTAGAATTACTGACTATTACCCAAAACCCTTTAGATACAGGGTGTGGTATATGGGCCAATCACTGCCTCTCATGCCCCCACCTTAGAGAATCTGTCTCCACCCACAGACCTGGCTGCTGTTTGTACCAGGTGGTCACTTGGCCCATCACACTCACTCCCTCCTGAACCCAGGTGAACAAATCAAGAATCTGAAATAAAAAACACAGAGCCCAAGTCAGTAAGATGAATGTGAACGCATCATCTGGAAAGGCCAGAGAAAATTAAAGCGGGAATAGGCCCCAAAGCAGATCAAAAGCTACAAGGTACCAAGAGCAGAGAAGCCTTTGTGTAAGCACAGAAAGCAGGGCTGAGGAGAGGGCATTAGGCTGCAGCACATTCATGGAGTAGCAGCCAAGAGAGACCTTGAAGACCCAGGAGAGGCTGAGGAACCAGATTCAGTTCCTGACTCTCCAGTTTTGTTTCCTGTCCTTAATGAGACTCCTTACTGTATCCTTACAGTAAACCTACTTTCATTTCACCTAGCTTCTGAGGTTTTCCTTTCTTGTAACCAGGGCTTCAAACTGGTTCATTCTGGTTTGAACCCCTGCTGAGAATTTGCCTTTCCACTCCAGATATACTAATTATTAAAGTGTAGATTCTGATTCAGTATATCTGGGGTGGAAATACAAATTCTCAGCAGGGGTTTAAACTGGAACGAAGCGGTTTGAAGCCCTGCTTGTAACTCAACAATATGACTCAGATACTAGCCCAATCCTCTGCTTTTATAGATGAGATCACGGAAGACAGAGAGGTCACACCACTAGCTAGTGGTCATTCATTTTTAGAACACAATTTGCCTGATTACACTACACCCTGTACCTCTGCGTTTCAATGGGCACTGAAAAAGTCAGGTCTGAAATATTAAGCAGTATTTCAACAGTGGCTTGGTTTATTATGAAAGTTAAACCAAGTTTGTCCCCATGTAATAATGTACCTGACGTAATGCTTGCTTTCTGTGGTTCAGCTCTGCCAAGGCATTAAGGTTGCAACTAATTGTAAAAAAGAGTGGCCTAAAAACCATTTGTATTCACAACATAAATAATTTCCTACTTGATGAGATCATAAAGGTCATGTGTGGATATCCTATTTCCCCCCTTGGACTATATCTTGTACCACAGTATTTACATAGATACATCAACAGTTTATTTAAGCCTAGTTTAACCTGTCAAGTTCACTTTTACAAATATTAACTTTAGATGCATTTTGAAGTCTTTAAAGAAGAGGGTTTACAATGGACCTGATATCTATAAGAACTTATATCTATAAGAACTGAAGAGTGTCATAAGGGACAGTTGCCAGAGCTTCCTGTATATGTCCTCTGATAGCAAAGAGCTTTGGTGGTGGTGCGGGGGGGTATGGCACCTGCACGATGGGACACAGACAACAAAACCCCAATTGGAATGAGTACTAATATGAACCAGGAGCCTTCTTTTATCTTTCATGCACATATACAATATGGAAGGCAGACTGAGAAATATTATTCTGAATATTGAAGAACATGAGCTGGCCTAGCTTGACACATTATGAGTCTATTTGGTTTGGAACTAGGCTGTCTGACAAACTGCATCTGGAAAATTAACCTGGTCCTGGGAAGTTTCTGGTGTCCGAACTTTCAGGGTAGGTTGGTTCCAAACTCCCAAACGTTGTGGATTAGCTAAAGGTGAGATCAAGGGATCCTCTTTGTGGTTGGCCTAAGATTTTTCTCTAGAATTGGTCTTCCAGAAATTCTACCAGTTAGGCAGAAGGCTTTGCACTTTAAGAAGGCACAGAAATTAACTACAATATACACTTAAAGAAATAACGTAGGTTTATTAGAACTGAAATTTGTCAACTAAGAATGGATCTCTACTGATGTTTTGACATACCTTCCGAAAAAGCTTATGCCATGTAACAGTTTGGTTGAATGCAGCCAAAAAGAGGTAAAGATCTTAGAATAATATGCTTGTTTTGCCTGTATTTCTAAGAGACACTGAAAATTACAATGATAAGATCTCTCCAATTATAAATTTTAGAATGCTACATAAATATACACGTAAAATTAGATCTTTTACAGTGTTAGAAAACTCAATTCTTTATGCAGTTATAACAGAAGTTAAATTCTGGTTTGGTCCTCTCAGAAAGAAAATTAAGTATAGCTTTTATTGTGTTTAAATAATTTTACATCGTTTAAATGTTTTTCAAGGAGTCCACTGGGCTGAAATAAAAATATTCTGACAAGTTCATTCAGAATTATAGGTTATTTTTTGCACTATTTTTATTAACCAGAAATATGATCTTTTGAGCTATACAAATTTCCCCTCAGACATCTATGTGCTTCCTTGGTATACACATTAAACTCACATACTATAACAAAAGTAGGACACAGAAGGATAAAATGTGATCTCATGACATTAAAACATTTTCCAGCTCTGAAACTACTGAAAGTGACCCAACAATGGTGGCCATACTTTTGTCCACTACTAACTCTCATATGTACCCCCTGAGACCCAGAGTTTGATCTCTCAATACAACTGGCCTTACAATATTCTTGAGGATAGCTGATTCTATGACATGGAGCAGGAAAAACTCAAAATGAGTCTGGTACATTCTGCAGTTTCCAGATAGCATGGATGCTTTTAGAAATATCAAAAGTGTTAAAAGGACATTGGAGTCAACATAAAGGGACTTCTCACTGACCAAGTTGTGAGACTCTGAGTATCAAATACAAGCACAGCAAGGTAGTCATAATGCAAAAGCAGGATAAATGTGATAGTTTATTTTTTTTAAGAAGTAGGGGAGTGTTTATATTGGGTATGTTATTTCTTCTAATAATTACATGTCTGCTTATAATATTTAGATATGTTCTTATTTCTACCTGGGTAAGTGCCAAAGAATAAACACTTGGAACTGTTATTAGGCTAAATGAACCTAGCAGACGAAGGTAGTAAAATCAAGAATAGAATGGATTGATGAGCACAAATAATAAGATGGTAGAAAGTAGCATAGGTGGTTATACACAACGACCAGGTAAGAGAGACATTCAATACTGTATTTTAAAGTATGAATTACCTCAATGTCTTAAAGATGCAAGTTAACTACAAAAAGGAAATCCCTCATCAGGAAACAAAACATCTAGAATCATGATTCCCAATAAGAAATAAAAGCATTTTTAATGATGATAACAGAAAAGGTCACAATACCCTAATAACAAGCCAGTAAGTTAGGTACTATCAGCCATGCAAAGCTTAATATATCATTACTGCAAAAGATACCAAGTTTCAAAGACAAAACTTCATAAAGAAAGAGACTTAAAAACGTTTACCATAAAAAATAAGTCAGCTCATCACTGTGGCTCAGGTTTGAATTACCTAGTTTACACAATTAGACCATGACCAGAACAAAACTGGTCAACTACCTAGATCCTTTCTTTTTCCTTTAGTTCTAAGTAAGAGTACTGAAGCCCTAGAAAGGAATCAAAGTCCTAATACTGGAAGATTAGAAAAATATCAAATTACACACTATTAAGTTATTAAACAAATACAGAGATAAAGAAGAAATTACTTAAACCCATAGTCTTGATGTTTTAGAATAGGTTTAAGTGAATATACAATGATAAATTTTATAATCACTGCTTATATATATACTTTCTCAGCTGTTTAAGGTGTTTGAAGACTTTAAAAGGCTTATCTATACTAAATTTGTACTCACTATTTACATTCTTCAGTTTTGGGATTAATATTTAAATGCTCAAGAAAAATTGGTTTCCTAAATTTGTTTCTTCTGTATGAATTTAATGAAGTGAACATTAAACAAAGTCGTGAATATTCTTCATGTCCAAAAGTCCCTTAAGACAAAGAATCTATCAATCATTATATCACAAATTCATACTTCAGAAGGGAAAGTCTGTAATTATGGAATCCTAATAACTCCCGCTAGAATACAAACGAAGACGTGATTTTCAAAGCATGTAAGACAAAGCTTGAGTTTTCTATTCCTACCAACACATTAATATGCTTGATAAATGCTTGGTTTTAAAGAAAAATAAATCATAACTTAGCAGGAATCACATTTCCATGTTAACCATCTGGGTAGATGCAATATGATGTATGATTGAGACTACTGCACACTCTCTCTCCTTCCAACCACAGGATTTAAGTTGTATTGAAGGCAGGTCCCGAGAGAAAAAAAAATCTGAAGCACATAATGTGGGCTCCAGAAAGAAAGGAGAACTTAAAAGCTTAGTACTTCACAAATCTACTATTCGACCAGATCTTTGGGATTACCATGAATTGTGAGGATGCCTACCAAAGAAAGAAAAGCATTTGGTCACATTTAATCTGATGCACGAGAAAAAATACAAAATAATACTAGAAAAATCACATAAGTTTGGCAAATCATCCCAAATTATAATATTTACTGTACTCAGCACATCCTAGGTGAAAACACAAAAGAAAAAATAGAAAAAGCTCATCTGTCTTGTTAGCTTTACGAGTGGCATTTGTTCCTGATTGAATAAGGAATCCAGGGAAGACAGCCCTTCCCAAAACAAACTAATAAGCAAAAAGAAACATCTTTGGGAATCCAAACACTCCACTTGCAAAACTAAGCACAAAGTCAACTAATTCAACTTAAGCGCTGGTATCACAACGAACTACAGTGATTGTACAACTTTAAAGTCATGAAGATACACCTGAAATACAACAGAAATTATAAAACCTGATGGGGGAAGCTGTGTTCAGAATGGTACTCAATATGGCCAAGAGTTCGGAACATCTGTAACACCACACTGATATCCTAAAGGTGCTGTGTTGAGTTGGAGAGGTTGAAATTTGACCAGAGAGCTTTTTATGATTATAGCTTTTTTCTTACCTCTTCATCCCAGTCAAAATCTAATGCTTCATCATCTAGTTCTGGTAAAGTAAAGAGAGACTTTCTGGAAGTAATCAGTTTTTCAGTGGATCCCTCTAACTGAAAAGTTTTCCTTTTACTGCCAAGCATTGTGGCTGTGGTTATAGGAGGAGGCCTTGGGCCACTCTCAATCCAGTTCTTACTTTCAGGGGGAGGAGGAGGGGGTTCTGATTTGGATTCAGAGGGGGAAGTGAAGGAGAAGTTTGCCAATTTGGCTAATGTACAAGCATGAACCTTGCTGCTTTTATCAGTGTATGAGTCCTCTTTTTTCTCTCTCTCACTAAGATGAGAATGCCCAGTCTGGTTCCCAAGCTCAGGCTGAATAACTCTCTTTTCAGGGGCACATTCCGTCTTCTCTCTTGATCCTTCTGTCTTTGGTGGCTGCTGTGACACCTCCTTTGCCATACTCTGCAGCTGACCTGAGCTTCTGTTCCCTGGGATAGATCTCAACTTTTCTGGGTCTTTCCAAGGCAGAGCTGCTTTTCTTCTTGTTCTAAGTTGGGACATTTTAGGACTATGAACTGCCATTTTAGTTGTGCCATGAGACACATGGCTGTGGTCGTGAGGGGAGTGGATCAGTTTTGACTTCCGCTTGAAAGTAAATTTTGCCAGCTTGGCCACAGGGGGACTCTCAACACCTTCAAGTTCGGGCTCTTCCACTTGAGCAACGGATTTCTGTCTCTTTCTTTTGGGAGTTTCCAGTGTTCTTTCTGGGCTATATATGGGGATGGACTGAGGATGAGATGGGCTTAAGGGCTGCGAAGTCTCCCTGGCAGGATTTTGGCAGAGCTCCTGGGCCTTCTCCTTGCGCAGCTTGTGCAGTTTCCTAGGGACATGATGAGTTAGCATGGAGGCTGGCTCATCAGCAGGTACTGCTACTTCGGAAACCGTTGCTGACTTTTTTGTTTTACCCTCAACATGAAAAGTCTTGTGTGGCCTCAATGGAGCATCTGTCTCTCCTGGTGCTGGAAGCTGTCCAGCTTCCGATTTGCTGCCTTGGCCTGGCCTACTCTTTTCCTTACCCTTAGATTTGCTGTTGCAGATTTTCAAAGCCATTTCTTTGTCAGTTGTTTTGGAACTGGGAGACACATAAACAGTGTTTTTAGGCTCAACCTCAGGAGTTGCCATGGAGTCAAACCAGTCTAAACTGTTATCTCTGTTATTCGGGGGCTCAGCTGAATGTTTTCTACTTGTTGATCTATTAGGCCCCAGATGGGATGGGGGATTTAGAAGTGGGCTTCCCCCAGGACTGCCTCCAGGAGAGGAGGTATGCATGTTACAATTTATTTCCTGCGGTGTGGAAGTTTTGAACTTTGATTCTTCCCCTGGATCATTTCTCAAGGATGCTGGAGGAGTCTCTGCCTCTCCTAGCTGCGGCTGGAATTGGTGGACACTCTGATTCTGTAACCTGTAGCAGAGATAAGAAAGGAAAATATGTACTGAAGGCAAGGCTTTAACCTTCTCATTTCTTTACAGTATCTGAAATGCTGTCTAAAGAGTTAAGTCTGACATAATTCCAAGTTAATACCAAGTATGGAAGCCCTGGTGGCATAATGGTTTAAGAGCTTCAGCTGCTAACCAAAAGGCCAGCAGTTCAAATCCACCAGGTGCTCCTTGGAAACCCTATGGGACAGTTCTACTCTGTCCTATAGGGTTGCTATGAGTCGAAATTGACCTGACAGCAATGGGTTTGGGGTTTTTGTTTCTTTTTAATAGTCTCTTAGAGCAGCAGGAGAAAAGTATCCTTTTTTAAATCAGTAGAGAATTTAAGTGTTCTGATAAGCATTCTAATTTAACCTAAAACAGTCATAAAATGAAGAAAATGAAATAACAGGTTTGTCTGTCTACATTTGTAGATGTCTCTGAAAGTCCACTGAATTTATTGAAGATTGTTTGCAGGTCAGTGTAAACTGCACATGTTAATCTTTCAGCTACAAGACAGACTTGTAGCTATTTGTACAGCAGCTCACTGTTGACCAAGAAAGTTGTTGCTCTAGTTGTTTGGTATCCACTTTGCACATAAGAAAAAAGGGAAAGACCTGAGATTATGATCCATCACATCTCTTTACCTAATTGAAGTATTGAATTTTAGTGCATCTAAAACGTCCCCTTACTCAGGAATAAAAAACTTATGATACCTCTAGACGGGTGTTCCTACTGTTCCCTCTGACACTCACAGCAGATGTCCCAGGCACATTGTGACACATTTTCCTGCTAAGCCCAGTCATTCTGACATATGTTCCAGGTAGTCACTCTCCATCAATTTGATGGAGTTAAGACCCATTTACCCTCCCTGAATGAAGTATCTGGTCAGTGATACTTTAACATTTGGCCATATTTCTTTTCTGTCAGCAGTGATGGGAAAACAGAAACAGAAATAGCGCCAAAAGTACCAATTTCTAACAAAGTAGGTTCTTCAGAAAGCCATTCCTAACAACCTAGAAGACATGCCTTTTCATTTTAGGGTGTAAGATGACCCTGCTTCCATGTACTATATGTGAAAAGGAATTAACCAAAAAGCAGAGTAGTAAATTATTCTAAAAATCATGTGTAATCATAGAAAAAGGAATAGAAAAAAACACATTAAATTTCAATATATTTAAATACATTAAAATGTTAATGGTAGATATCTCTGGGTAATAAGATTACATGTGATTTTTATTTTCTTATTAATTCATTATTGTTACTTTCCCAAATACTCTATACAGAACATGTATTGCCTTTATAATAAGAAAACACACAAAAAAAATTGTAAAAATATTGGGTTACATTCATTTCAGTAGATTTGGAAATATAAATACAGCAAATCCATGTTCATTGTTATTAATATGAGTAAAAACCAAACCAAAAAAACAAGCATCTTTCAAAATTACTACCACCTAATACATTTTCAGCATCAAATTGTGTTTAGGGATGCTCTTAATTGTTAAAACTCTCATAACAAAGTCCTGAAAGACTGAGAATTTAAAGGAGTAGAATAATTTAACTCTACTATGTTAGTCTGATTCTTATTTCAAGAATTAAATTCTCTCCTACATAAAATTTCCACAGTTTTACTACAGCTTCCTAAAAGACAGCATCTTTGTGATCTGTTTTAATTTTAAGGTGGGTAGAATGGCCACCATTTGAGGCAGATTGTCACTAGTAAAGCATTTTCAGGAAGAAAAGTGTAATAAAAATACAAATGGTTTTATTATAATTATGTGATCCCCTTAAGGGATAGAGAACTCTTTCCTAAGGGGGAAAAGCCAATAAGCCATTTGGGATTTCTCACTTGATAAGTAAGATTAGCTTTAGACTGTATCTTGAAGGTAATTCACCTTCATTTACACCACACCTGGTTTTGTTACTGGGAGGGTCAGCACATGCTTTTTGCATTACAAAGAAATATCAGTAGACAAAAAAAATTTTAAGGAAGAATCCTATCTTTTAAATCCTCACCTACTCATTTTTCCCTTCTTTCCCTCCAGGAGAGTTATTTTGCATTTGGGAAGTCCAACTGCCATTTTTCAATTACAACACTGATTCAGAGCCTCACATTCCCTCCTTTCCTTAATCCACCATATACATCAGTTTCCAATAACTTAGGTCAGTCAAAACGAGCAGACTCTCTAAGGGTAAAGCCAAGCCCAGGGAGTGGCAGGGAGCTCTCAGCTAAATGCAGATGCATGAGTAACCCCAGCTGATACTATGTGAGCAGAGACAAGCCACCCCCACTGAACCTTGTCTGAATTTCTGACTCCCGGAGCGCTAAAATGTTTTTTGTTTTATTTTTAAGCAACTGAGTTTTGGTATGGTTGATTATACAGCAATAAATAATTGAAACAATCCCCTACAGATAGTACAGGCAGATTTTTCACTTAATTTGCAGTCTTTCATTTCACTAAATGCCAAACAAGACTTTCCCATCATATACCTTTCTTGGTTTTTCTTCCTTACCTTTCAAGTCTTCTTAGTTCTTCACTCAAGAGGCTCTGCAGCTCTAGCTTTTCCAGAATAAGTTCACATTGCCTCTGGTACTGCTCCAAAGGGTTTTCAGGAAAGGAAGTATGGAGTGCATTCACACCTCCTAGCAGTGCGCCTCCCTGAGGGGCAAGAAAATGAAAAATATGAGGGAGAGTCACCGGAACTGCTTGCATAGAGGCAAGTATACACTAGAAACCACTGATGAGGTGACTAAGACCAGCCCCCTCCACAACCCCATCTTGGCTGTCAGAATCACCTGGGAGACTTTTTCAAATTTAATACTCCTCTATCCATTTCTTGGTGGCAGTCATTGTTCTATAAAGGCACACTGTCACTAGTGGGAGCATGGGCATCACTTAGATGCGCTGAGGAGAAAAAGGATTGAGAACCACTGCTTTAGACCAATGGGCAGAAGCAATGCCACTGATGCAGTGAATGTCTCCATGACATTTTTTTCCCTTCTTTTAAATGACTTCCTTTCGGTATATTTCCATGAATTATTAGGTCTAGAATATGATCATGTTTATAACTCTTGATATATTAATAAACTGTCTTATTCGCCTGAAGCAACAGAGGCAGAAGGAGAGTCAGGAACAGAAGTAGGATATGGAATGTGTGGCTAATTGCCTCCATGAACAACTGCCTCCTTTGCCATGAGACCAGAACTGGATGGTGCCCAACTACCATTACTGAACATTTTGATCAAAGATTCTAAAGAAGAATCTTGATCAAAAGGAGGAAAATGCAGAACAGAATTTCAAATTCTCATGGACTCTAGACTTTCTGGAACTATGGAGGCTGGATGAATCCCTGAAAATACTGCCCTGAGATAACCTTTAAACCTTCAATCGAAAATATTCCCTGAAGTCTTCTTAAAATCAAACAACAGTTTAGCTTAACTAGTGAAAAATGTCTGCCTTGAGCGTTACACTCTTACGGGATTAAAGTGACAACAGTAACTTAAAAGATCGGACAGGAACCTTAGGGGCCAGTGAGTTTATGTCAATGGGGGAGGAACAATTCAGAAAAGGAGGGTGAGAATGGTTGCATAACCTGAAGAATATTATCAATGTCACTGAACTGTACACGTAGAAACTGTTGAATTGGTTTGTTTTGCTCTGTATATTCCCAACAACAACAAAATAAAATAGTCTTTTTTTTTCCTTCTAGAAAGCTATAAACAGGGTTCAAATATTAGGTACACAAAAAATCCCTACCTGCATTGAGGACTCCATCACTGACACCACTGTAATAGCATCTTCCAGAGTCACGGTGTCACGAAACATCAGACGAGCATGAGCTAAGAAAACGAACAACATTTGAAATTATGAAGATAGGAATCATTTCTTTTTTTAAATGAATATTTGAGGTGATAAATACAATTTTCCACCTGACTCTCCCCACCGAAAATATTATTTTTTGAATGAAATACTAGAAAAAGTACAAAAAGTCTAAGTTCAACTAGCTTTAAGGTTGTTTCTCTAATAATGGTCCTAATTATTCTGTGTCGTTCATGGCAGTTTTGTATATTTATATGAAACAGTACTCTGGGTTCTAGAAAAGAAAGAGGCTATGTAAATACATATTTAATATCCAACAACTTTTAATCCTCAGTGTCTAATTATAAAAACACACACAAAAAAATTAAACCTCATTTCTCATTTTGGACACTTCTCTTTATCTACGATCTATGAGCTTTTCAAAACTACCAAACTAGCAAGCCTGAATTTTGGATATTTCTTGCCCTAATATTAGCTAGAAATCCTTGAAAAAATGAAGCCTATTTGTTTTATGGTACTTTTTATTCGGCTTATGTTATTTCATCATATGACACATACGTTTAAGGTTTTCCACAGTTCACGTGAAAAAAATTGTTTTTGTTAGAATTTTTTAAACAAGGGCTAAATGTAAAAGCTGATGCTAGAAAAAAAAGTTCTGACGTGCATATTAGCTGTATGTAAGCATGTAAGCCTTATAGCTTAGAGACTGGATAGGGCATGGCATTGTTAATTTGATTGATACAATGATGGGGGATGGGCTGCAACTGGCAACTGCTGAGCAACAACCAGAGATGCTATGCTGGAAACAATCCCAAACAAGGAACTAACCCACCCACAAAGTTTATAATACAGCTGCCACTGAGAAACAAAGCATCAATAAATAAGACTTTAAAATGATGTCTTTAGTTACAACAGGTCTTGGCATGTCACAAAGATTCCTCTTTCTTCATGACATTATATCCCACTCAACACCCATAATCTGTTCCCAGGCGAGTAGAGGTTTCAAAGCTCAGCGCCTTTACTTTGTAAGTGACTACAGGCACCTCGGGAGTACCTGGGCGCTGCAAATGGTAAAGTGCTCAACTACTAGCTGAAAGGTTGGTGGTTTGAATTCACTCAGAGGTGCCTCAGAAGAAAGGCCTGGAGATCGGTTTTCAAGGTCAGAGCTTTGAAAATGCTATGTAACAAAGTTCTAGTCTGACACACATGGTGTTACCATGAGTCAGAATCGACTCAAAGGCAACTGACAACAATATGAGCACCTCTGCTGTTGCTGTGTGCCGTCCAGTTACCTTAGAGTAGGGACTATTCTTATTCATCCTTGAATCCAGGGTGCCAAGTCCCATGCCTTGCACACAGGAGGCACTCAATAAAAATATCTTTTAATAAATGAAATAAACCTTCTGCTAATCGTATCAAGCTTTCCAACAGGCGGATGGTTGTCCGGGCCGCGTTCCGGGAATCACTCTGCCGTTGCATCTGGTAGTACCGGAGAAGAACTTGATTACCCACGTCAGACAGTGTGGGCTGTAGATTCCTAACGAGGCAGAAGTAAGTTTTCATTTTCTCCATGCTCCAGAGCTTCTCTGATTTGCTTGGGTAACCTGTACATATCAAGTACTGGGTCAGTAATTTTCAAAAATAGGCAAAACATCTCATTTTCAATGTTTGATAAAGTTCTTACACTCATTTTTAAAAAGATGACCTTCAGGTTTTGTGGCCATTTAAAGCTAGACCTGTTCTCTGCTTAGCATACCGTTTTAGAATTAGCAGTCTTAGGATCTAAGCTTAATAAAGGTAAGCTTCCTACAGGGACTAAAATTATTCAAAATAATTATGATCTGTCCTATAGTAATAAATAGTACTTGAGTAAATCTATTTTAAAGCGAAGCCCATATTTAGAAATTTCTCTTTCATAATTCAATCCTGGTTTCTTTGTGTGCAAGACACAAGTGGTAATTATGTATCATAAGATTGCCCCCTTTCATTACAGAGAACATACTTTACAACTATAATCTCATCCGCAGGTAGAGAAAGTCCCTTTTCCTTCGGCTCATTATTTTGGGGCCCACTAACTGGCTCCACTGACTTCCTGCTTTCTGTCTAAGCATTTCTCTATTGTCCTATTAGGTAGGGTACCTTGGGCATTTATTCAATTTTCTTCAAAGATAATTTCATTTGGTTATGGCTAATCTTTGCCCCTTTGAATAATCTGTCTTCACATACCTTTATTTTCTAAGATAAAGGAGGAAATTATATGATCCCAGTCTTCATTCTTGGTATCAAGCAAAACCAGAATCAGGTCAAATCGGCTTAAGAGTGGGCTACCAAGAGCGATGTTCACAGACACAGACTCGTTGGGGTCATACTGGCTTTTGGGGTTAGTTGCTGCCAGTATGGTGGTCCTTGTGTTCAGCTTGCACACGAGGCTACGGAGAGAGGGGACAGAATTCACTGACTGATGAGATTCGAATAAAAGCACGATGAAATTTGTTAATAAAAACGGACTGCTATTGTACCTTGCAGTCCCTTCGGAAACCCTGGTGGTGTAGTGGTTAAGAGCTACGGCTGCTAACCAAAATGTCAGCAGTTTGAATCCACCAGGCACTCCTTGGAAGCTCTATGGGGCAGTTCTACTCTGTCCTAAAGGGTTGCTATGAGTCAGAATGACTCGATGGCAATGAGTTTTTATTGTACCCTGAAAATATAGAGACACTCGTGTGAGAGAAAATATGGAATGATACAAGGGGGTATCATAAAAACCAAGTTCAAATGCAGTCCATTTAAACTAGCCAATTTTTAAGAGATTAACTGTTCACGAAACGCTTCTTTTGCCTCTGTTATAAGCAGACCCCTCTACTAGGTGCTGAGAGGGATACAAAATTAAACAACAACAAAAAAAAGATACGTCTCTTAAGGAGCAGGCAATCCACTAGCTATGATAATTTTGTCGTTGTTAGGTGCCATCGAGTTGACTCTGACTCATAGCGACCCTGTGTGCAACAGAATGAAACACTGCCTGGTCCCGCACCATCCTCACAATCGTTGCTATGCTTGAGACCACTGTTGCAGCCACTGTGTCAATATATCTCCCTGAAGGTCTTCCTCTTTGTCACTGACCCTCTACTTTACCAAGGATGATGTCCTTCTCCAGGGACTGGTCCCTCCTGATATCATGTCCAAAGTACATGAGACCAACTTTCACCATCCTCACTTCTAAGGAGCATTCTGGCTGTACTTCTTCCAAGACAGATTTGTTTGTTCTTCTGGTAGTTCATGGTATGTTCAATATTATTCACTAACACCATAATTCAAAGGCATCAATTCTTCTTTGGTCTTCCTTATTTATTGTCCAGCTTTCCCATTCATATGAGGTGATTGAAAATACCATGGCTTGGGTCAGGTGCACCTTAGTCCTCAAGGTTTTATCTTTGCTTTTGAACACTTTAAAGAGGTCTTTTGCTGTAGATTTGCCCAATATAATACACTGTTTGATTTCTTGACTGCTGCTTCCATGATGTTGACTGAGGATACAATTAAAATGAAATTCTTAACAATTTCAATCTTTTCTCTACTTACCATGATGTTGCTTATTGGTCCAGTTGTGAGGATTTTTATTTTCTTTATGTTGAGGTGTAATCCACACTGAAAGCTATAGTCTTTGATCTTCCTCAGTGAAAGGCTTCAAGTCCTTTTCATTTTCAGCACGCAAGGTTGTATGATTTTCATAATGCAGGTTGTTAATGAGTCTTCCTCCGATTCTGAGGCCTCGTTCTTCTTCATATAGTCCAGATTCTCGGAGCATTTGCTCAGCATACAGTTTGTCAGTTTGTAGTAGTACTATGGTGGCTTGCATGTTGCTGTGATGCTGGAAGCTATGATGCTGGAAGCTATGCCACTGATATTTCAAATGCCAGCAGGGTCACTCATGGTGGACAGGTTTCAGCAGTTCTTCCAGACTAAGACAGACTAGGAAGAAGGACGTAGTGATCTCCTTCTGAAAAAATCCACAGTGAAAACCTTATGAATAGCAGCAGAACATTATCTTACATAGTGCCAGAAGATGAGTCCCTTGGGTTGGAAGGCACTCAAAATATGACTAGGGAAGAGCCGCCTCCTCAAAGCAGAGTGAACCTTAATGATGTGGAAGGAGTCAATTTTTCGAACCTTCATTTGCTGATGTGGCACAACTCAAAATGAGAAGAAATACCTGCCTGCATGCAGAAGTAATTGGAAGGTGGAATATACGAAGTATGAATCTAGGAAAACTGAAAGTTGTCAAAAATGAAATGGGACACTTGAAAATCAATATCCTAGGCATTAATGAGCTGAAATGAACTGTACTGGCCATACCGAATCAGACAATCATATGATTTACTATGCCAGGAATGACAAATTGAAGAGTAACGGTGTCACATTCATCATTAAAAAGAACATTTCAAGACCCATCCTCAAATACAATGCTGTCAGTGACAGGATAATATCCATATGTCTACAAGGAAGACCAGTTAATACAACTATTATTCAAATTTACGCACCAACCACCAATGCTGAAGATGAATAAATTGAAGATTTTTTACCAACTTCTGCAGTCTGAAATTGATCAAACATGCAATCAAGATGCATTGATAATTACTGGTGATTGGAATGCGAAAACTGGAAACAAAGAGAAGAATCTGTAGCTGGAAAATATGGCCTTGGTGACAAATACCACCAGAGAATGACAGAATTTTGTAAGACCAATGACCTATTCATTGGAAATATGAAAATGATACAAGGCAGAATATGGAAAGTTCTATAAAGTAAGTATAAAGTTCCCAGGAGAAGTAAAGATGATGTATATTCATTTATGTGGGTGGGAAAGAAGATCAGAGAAACATTACAAAGCAGCTTTTGAATTGCGCCCTTCACAACATCTGGAATTTCTTAAGTGGAGAGAGATATGTATTTGTGGAAATGGTGAAGGAGGTGGGTGAGGGTGATTTTGGAGAAAGGCAAATGGATGAAGTAAAAACTTTCTGTGTGTTTACTTATCTTCTTTTGATTTTTCCAAAAAGGAAAGAAAGAAAAAGAAAGAGAGAGGGAAGAAAATGAGGCAAAAAAAAAGGATTGATTTAGCCTGAAGAACAGGCTGGGGAGCCTGAAAAGGTCTTAGCTTGGAGGGCTGGTTAGGCAGGAAAGGGCTCCTGGCAGAGGGAAGGCAGAAGATGGTCTGCGAATAGGTACAATGGCCTGGGAAGAGGCATGTGTGTCCTACACAGAGCAGTGCAGCATAGAAATGGGTGTAACATAACTTAGATACTATTTTCAAACTTATTAATGACAGGCAAGTCCTCAAAATAAAGATGGCAAATTCACTGACAATAAAACTTGTAAACATTTTTCTCTGTAAATTTGGACGCTCTCCATTCGATCCCATTCTTAGTTACAGGGGGGATGTCTGCCTCCAGTAGTCACAACCCTATAACATCAGCGAACATGCACTAGATTTGTTAACCCCTGATCTATTTCTAGTTGGCTCCAGCAGTTACCTCATACCAAGACAGAAAGTTTGAGAATATTTATTTGTAGCAAATGGCACAAGAAAACACTCATTAAAGAAAAGAAAAACAAAAACGAATTTTCACTGAAAAGTAAATTCCCTTCTAAAAAATCACTAAAAGGGAAACATTTTGAACTAATAGTCCCGATCTTACTTTTTTTTTGCCAAAGAGGCTTTGTAAAGGCAGTTGTTTAGAACACAGAATCTATTTACCATAAAAACAATGTAAAAAATGGTTCCTAAATCAATCCCACAAAAGCACATTTAACCTATTGAAGCATGACTGTTCGCATTTATAATAAGAAAGGAATATTGCTGTGATACTGGTAATGAAACAAAATACAATTGCATATGAAATAATTTTTAAAAAATCATTTTCAATGCTAGGTAGAATTGTTCTTCCTCTCTCTGGTCAGTGAATATTTATAGGTCATTTCCCATATGCAGAGAGAATCAAGGTATAGGACTGGTCCCTGCTTCAATTAGTTTATAATAGAACTGCTAGCGGAGGGGGAGGTTCAACACAGCGCCTGCCGGACAGTACGCCATACAAGAGATGCCAGTGTCAGCATCAGCAATACGACAGTCATAAATAATAATGCTGATATATAGTTTTTTCTGTATTAACTTTAAGCAGCTAAAACGTTCTAGTTTCTGAAAACATTACTTTTCCAATTATTTAATCCACATGTTTAAACTTTCCTGTAAACATAGTAGTAATTTTCCAAACATTGTAAAGTTAGGTTATATAACTTATTTTTACCAGTACAGATCCCCAGGAAAGTTCCTTTGCTTTTGTGTTGGTCTCCCATTACTCCCGTTACACCCTTTATGAGGTGATCCCTTTGTTTATTCATGGCTTTAAGCATCACCTATATTCTGGGACTTATAAATTTACATCCAGGCTGTGGCAGAATCCACCAAACCTTGTTTCCTTTTTTCCCTGGGAAACACAGCAAGATTATACTTCCCAGTGCCCTTTATAGTTAACCCCATAGCTACCCTACAGGACAGAGTAGAACTGCCCCATAGGGTTTCCAAGGAGTGGCTGGTGGATTTGAACTGCCAACCTTTTGGTTAGCAGCCAAGCTCTT